TTATTTGACTTATCTTAACACACTTTCGGCGGATAGGATTTCGGGCTAACTTGTACCCGTAGCGGGGTTTTTACAACGGTGCGAATGCGTAAGCAGGGATGAAAGCACAGTCTTTTACTTACAATACTTACTGCCTAAATTCATACGTGTAGTAAATACTATAATATTAACTTATTATGAGGTAAAACTATCAATACTGAAGGTAAATATTTGCAAATAAAGTTGAATATTATTACGCAATGATACATATGTTTAGGCAATGAAATGAAAAATGTAATTAATTCTAAAAATTAAAACAAAATACACAGAAAAAATTTCTATACGTTTTCTTACGTAATTACTCATAAGTTTAGTCTCTGAAATAAAAAAATGAATTTAATCATAAAAATCAATTAATCAAAATACAAAGAAAAGTTTGCTATAGGTAGGTTTTTTACACGATTATACACTACACATTCTTACGCAATAAGTTTAGAATTGTAGAAATCATTTGGACTATTCTTTTTGAAGCATTGCGACAAACTTCTTGGCGTCTTCTAGATATTGTCTCTTCTCTTTTAAGTTTCAAAATTTTAAATTCTTTAGGAAGGCCCTTGTTTGTTCTTATAGTCCCACAAATCCTAGTTTTATTTTGTAGTAATAATAAACTTGTATTTACACTATTATAAAAATGTCCATGTATACATGATGCCACAAATTTAAATAAGGTTCTAATATATCTAATATTTCTCTAAACTATTGCCATTTTCATAGTAAATTTTAAATTGCATATGTAGCCTGACTTTGCTTCGCAAGCCATTCTAATCAGAATACTATATTTACTATTTTTGCTTAAATGCTTGTTTTAAATATGATAAATATTTTTAATTAAATTTTAAATATAAATTTGAAGATTTATTAGGTAATAGGAAGTAACAGGTTATTAAATACATTTAATTCCATAAATTCTTTCAAATAAAAGAAATTGGATAATAAAATACGATATCATACATTTTCAAATTACCTCTAATCCATAAAAACATTGCGAAAATTCGTCATTCAACAGTAAATTAATGAATTAGTTTTATTATTCGCCGGATACTGTATTTGATAAAATTACCTGTTGCCAGGTACGTAATTAGACAAAGTAATTCCATTCTCCAATCATGTATAAAGTACCTTTATCACTTATAATCATACTATATACAATCTAGAGTTTTACGTTGAAAATTCGATTGTTTTTAATATTATACGAAATTAATTTTTATGGTGTATAAATTAGTGACAAACCTAATAGTTAATTACATAAATAATAATATGATTTTATAAGCTACGTTCGATTGCTTGTAAAAATGTAATAGCTTATTTTTAACATTGTATTTGAAAATTAAATTAATGAATTATCGAACGCAATAAATACAAAGATAGCAAAATATATAAATGGTAATATAGTTTAAAAGAAATAGTTTGTTTACCAAAAATGCTGACGTAAAACATATCGTCTTAATAAAATACCATATATTTATGTAATATATACGTATTTACGTATCGAAAATAATTTTAAAGAATAAATTATAATTTTATTATAGTTTTATAATAAATATAAAACTAGCGTTGCAACCGCTCATAGTAAGAAATTTCGTTCGCTCTTCGCATCTAGCGTACCGAGCGAGTACCCGAAAATACCCGCACCCGCAGTTGAATGACATCCTAAACCAGGTACCAATACCCGGCCCGCAAAGGGTAGTAAAGTGTCTTAAGTCTTAACAACATAATTCAACTGATGAAATTATGTGTATATTAGGTGTACCAAGGGAAACCGGTACGACTCATTTGTCAGTAACCTGAAACGAAGGGTAGATCTAGGTTGGTGACAAAATCCCCGCCCCGGTTTCGCGTGGGACACTCGATAACAACTGATATTGTCTTGATTTTGTCTACATATATGTACTGATAATTTATAATTTATTATATAATAATTAGATTTTTTGTCTGCGTTGAGACGTATTTAACAATGATTTTCAGCCAATCGTCGAAATAAAAGAAACAAATAAATACAAATATTTATTTATAAAACGGATTTTGTGCCTTCATTCTGCAATTCTTTGTTAACAGTAACATGTTCAGTAAATTGTTTTTATTTTTCTATAATTATTTTATATGTAATATATGATTGGTTTTTGTATATGTATTTATTCAAAAAATGTTTTTTTTTCTGGTGGTATGTATATCTTTTAATTATTTTTAAATATAAATTAAATTTATTTTTAAACTTGTAAATATTTTTTTGATACTGTTAACAAAGAATTTGCTGAATGATGGCAAACAATCTGTGTCGAAACGTATATTATAAATAAATTTTGTATTTATTTGTTTTCTTTTATTTCGACGATTGGCTGAAAATCATTGTTCAAGGTAGTTTTTTATATAATTTTATAAATTTTGATTATTTTCAAAAATTGCTGGATTTATATTTATATTTATAATTTGAATTCAAACTTGGATTATTTGATATTATGTGTAGCAGTTCATAAGTTTTGTTTCAATAACTATATAAAATAAATTTGCATATTAACTTCCCGTAGGATAAGTTATAGTAATGGGCCAAAAATCGAAAATGAAAATTTTTGCATATCTTCACGTTTCAGAGGTTTCTGAATAATTTAGTACACCTCAGAAAAAACTGATTTGTGTGTGTGTGTGTGTGTGGAGACAAATTTTCGTCGACGATTTCGGGCGCACGGATCAACCGATTTGAATGATTCAAAAAACATTCGATTCCTATTGATAGGAGATGTTCTGACTAGTTTTTGACAAAGACAGGTTCAGCCATTTCGGAGATACGGAGCAAAGTGTGTAGAAACTAAAAATCGTGTGTTTTTGAGAGAACGGATCATCCGATTTGCATGATCCAAAAAACATTCAATTTGTAATGATTGGGAGAATAGGTAATTAGTTTTTGGCAAAAGCGGGTCCAGCCATTTTGGAGATACTGAGTTAAATGTGCAAAAAATTGCGTAAACTAAGCGTCGGATTTGAATGATTCAAAGAACTTTCTGCTAGTTTCAACAATATAATTGCTTTCGGAAAAAAAATTTGTTTTAAATTTTTTTTTCAAAAATATTTTTTGTAATTTTGGATTAAAATTCAAAAAATGAGTCAGGCTAAGCATTGTCTAAGCGCCACTCTGGTACAAATATTTACACGAATGCGTTTAGACTGTTTATGTACTGGAGCGCTTTTCCATTTTTGTGAAAATTATTGAAAACTGTGAAAATGCCGTCAAGCTAAGCACAGTATAAGTGAAAATGTCGCACAGAATTATTTGCAAATGCGATTAGACTGTGACTATGCGGGAGCACTTTTTCAATTTTTTATTTATATTTTATTATTAACAATTATTTTTTTTGAAACTATTTTTTTTGAAATTGAATTCGAAATGAAATGACGATTGTTAACGTAATAATTGATTTATGATTTGCATTTGATTTGCTCAGATATAACAAGATAGCAATAAAATAATGAGAGTTGCAGTATTTGTAATAATATATTTTAAAACGTTTAAAATTCCTCGAACATTTTGTTACGGTACGGGAAGTTCCAGCAATTTGCCTTAAGACACGATGCCATACACCACTAGTTTCTAATTTATTTGTGGTAAATGGTATATGAATTTTCATCTGATAGTTAATATGTATTAAAAAGTAATTAAATAAACGTAAACATACATTATAAAAAAATAATAAAAAATTAGTGGGGTGTATGGCATCGTGCCTTAAGGCAAATTGCTGGAACTTCCCGTACCGTAACAAAATGTTCGAGGAATACTGAATGGTTTCAAATAGATTATTATTAATATTGTAACATTGTGTAATATTTATTAGAATTATATAAACTGAATTGCAAATTATTTTGTTTAAAATATATTACACACACACATTCATTTTTTCTGAGGTATGCCAGTAAAATGTTCAGAAACCTTCAAAACGTCGAGAAATGTGAAAATTTTCAATTTCGATTTTCGGCCCATTACAATAACTTACCCTACGGAAAGTTAATAAAATAGTTTTTATAAAAATTTGGTTCCATACCTTCATGTAGAAGGAAGGTTTGTGTATAAAGAAAATATAAAATTTGAAAAACAACATGAATCTTGCAATTAGTCTATTATAATTAGTAAAAGTAATAAACCATGTTATAAAATGCAATGTACATACTCTTATATATTGAAATATATAGTCTTTGAACTGAATTAAAAGTTTGTTTCTTTTAGCCAGTGGAAATGGGACCGAAGAGTCCGGGGCCTCCGGCGGGAGCACGACGGTACGGGGGCGCTTCAAAGTGTCTTCGAGTTCCAGTGGCGGAGGCGCCTCCGCGATAGGAGGGACATCTCGCGTCGACAAACATGACAACTTCTCGTCGTTCGACGGCAGCGGTTCGGGGATGTACCGCTTGGCGCCGCTGTACCAACAGAACTGTAAGTAGATAATGAAGGTTCGAAACCTTACTGAGAAATAAATAGAGTAGAATCTCGATTAACCGGATAATCAAATGTATGAAGAATAATGTTGTGTATTTATTAAAAATAACAAATATATACATAGTTATCAACGATCAACGTTTATTAAGAAATTGAAACTTCGTTATGTATGTACAAATTAGGGTTTATACAAAAACCGACATTTCAGAAAACCGGTTTTCGAATTTTAAATTTTCCAGAAAACCGGTTTAACCGGTTTTCAAGTTTTATATAAAAAATCAATTTTTACTCGAATATTCTGTAAAAACAAAAAAATATCGGCAAATTTAGTGTGATTTAAAGCAGTTTTTGACCGAATTTATTTAATGTTCAATTTTATGAAAAGTAAACAAATTTATTTGAATTATTCGTTATTTATGCATTATTTTCACATATAGACTATAAATATTTTTATGATAGTGAAATAAAAGAGTTTGAATAAATAAAAATAATACATTTTTAAATAAAAAGCTTTTAATTTTCAATTAAATAAAGAAAAAATTAGATACATATTGATACATAATTGTTAATGTAAATTTTAATTCTAGAAATAATTAAACAAAACTCCGAGTTTATTCTATTCCGAACAAACCCTAGTACAAATATATTTTCTTAGATTACATACATATACTAAACTGCAGCATTAATCTTGTAAAAATTCGAATTGTAGGTAGTATATAAATTAGTCGCGGTTGGTAGTCCGGATAATTGCGAATCCGTATAACTGAGGTCCGGATAAACGAGGTTCTACTATAATGAATATATATACAGTACATAAATTCATCACTAAGAACTTTTTTGATTATCTAATATAAACACATACTTTCAACGTTAAAAAAATTATTATATACTAGATGACCCGACAGACGTTGTCCTGTACCCATGTCTACATTCTTTTATTATAATATACTAATATTTACCGTTTACTTAAAAATAATTATTATTGTTTTTTAAATTACTCTTCACGCCAAAATGAATATACATTTATAATATGAGCGATGTTAAATGTAGAACTGCTTTAAATAAAATGATGAGTCTCAATTCTCACACTGTATTGGAAATTAAAGTCTTTTAAACGGTATAACATAACCATAACCATAACATAACACTGGTACTTCATGTTGGATTGAATTAATTTAACTTTTTATTATTTAAGATATCCAAAATTGCATCTTAAACTTCTCCTAATCGATATCGTGAGGGCCGAATTGTATGTATTCATCTTTACATTCCCATTTGTTGTTATAAAGTGAAATTTTTACGAATTTTAAAAATATTATGGAAAGATTAGCAAAAGAAATTATACATTGTAAAAAAAAAACTATATTGAAAATTTAATATCCGAATCTTGTGTGGCGCCCCCTAAGGCGTGCGCTCGTATTTTTCGTATGCATCGCATTAAAGGTAGGACCGGCCCTTATTAATACTTAATTTCATATTTTAAGTGAATTAATTTGTCATATCCTGTTTATATGTGTATCATTAAATCTACCATACATATACTGTATCTTATATTATTTGAATTTCTGGCACATCTCAGCCGGTTTTTTGGCAATAATGATGTAAACATTTCATTTTTCTTATTCATAATCATACATTTATTATACATATTCTAATAATGTCTAGATTCATAAGTAAATTGAAATTTTGGCAATGATAATTTTCATTTGTTTTCAATGCAAACAATGACATGTCGTTTTTGCAATCTTTCGATTTTTTTCTACAATGTGCAATACATACATCGCAGTACTTTATAATCACATAGATTCTAGAAAATTTTCTTAACAAACTTCAAAAAGATTTATCAAGATCCGCACAATCGTTTAGAAGGAGTATACAGTGAGTGTAATTCTTGTAAATTACTTGTAATTTAATATGAACTTTATATAATAGCTTTAGAGCTCAAATTGATTCTACGTTTTAGTTAGAAAACGTTTGTATGAGAAAAAGAAAAGGCTGTTTTTAGGGTTTTCCCGGCAATTATTCGTTTTTCTCTCGCCGTAAGAATCATTTTTGGACTTCAACGAACATTTTAAAAAAATAATTGGCCAAATTGGTCCAGGCGTTATGCGCTTACCAACACATTTTACGATCTATTTTTATTTTTTTAATGAAATGGAAAATATTTTTTAGGCAAAATAGATTTTACAGCTGTTCAAAGAATGAGATTATATCACCAGCGGAAAATTAAAAAAAAATACCATCAGTCAATGAATGTATGTTAATTTTAATTACATGAAGCTCTTCACACACAATTATTACATGATGAGTAAAGTTGCAAAAATAATATTTGTTTAGGCGCGTTGTTTAACATATTACAGAATTTATTAATCAGCAATTACTTCATTTCTCTAATAAAGGTTCATTTCTAAATCCTAATTACAATGACAAACCGATCATGTCATATTTGAAGTATGACTTTAATTACATTCTTGTTTTTAAATATTATACATATTTTCAATGCTATTATAAATATATAATTTATAATTTATCATTATATTAATGTGTATAATGGTTGACAATAATAAATGTGTGCATTACGAGTGTTACCATATTACTAATAAACACTATTCAAAATTGTAATATGATGTATTTATTTTTGCTTAAATGGCATCTTGTACAGTAGCAAATAAGTTTTACTTCAATCGCGTGTGAACCTCACGCGCACTCTTTTTTTGTATTATATATTCAAATAAATCTTATCTATAATTGAACCTAGTGGTGAATTTACTTGCTACAACCAGTGGCGCCTCTATGGAACACGTAAACAATTAAAATCCTCACAATGCCAAAGTGAACGTGTTTAGGTTTTTTTTATACTTCTTTTATCTATAATACTAATAATATTAACTATTAATATGTTTTTGTTCTTTCTAGTTACGTACGGCCCCCCGTCCCCTTACATAAAAAGAGGGCGGTTTGCGGTGATTCCCGAAGAATCGGCGGCGCCTCCTTGCCAAACTCCTTATTATCCTGCAGGAAGCAGATCGCCTTCGCCGAGGCCCCTGGAAGAAGGCGACGACGCCTGGGATTTCGACGATGAGGTCAGTGAAGTAGTTATAACAGATGCATATTTAAGGGTGGTCCTTGATATGGATATTTTTGAATTTCTTGGCTCCCAAGGGCTCAAATGCTTCCAAATTGATGAAAGAAAATTCTGTGAAAGTTGAGCTCTTAATATTAACATTTAGATAGTCCGCAATTCAATTAAAAGTTTCGTATATTTTTTATTAAGTAAATTCTTGCGTCATCTGTGATAGCAGACTTGTAACTTTGATGGAAATTTATTACTGATAATTTGAGTGTCAAAATCACCAATTAAACAAATATTTTGTGCAAAATTAATTTTGATGCCGTGATGGATAAATATGTTGTTAAACAGCCCACATGGATTTACTTAGAGGTTAAGTGTTCAATGAAAGTGGACCAATGAGTTGCTGAATTATAATGGTCAAAATGTCATTACGTCAAATATGGCATGTGGGATATCAAATGAAAGGTCTCAACGAGCACTATCCAAATATCATATTCACAATCTCAATAAATCAATACGGTTCCGTCCCAAGCATTTATTCGATATCTAATATCATTTGTTTGCAAATTTGCAAGTAGACTTGGTGAAAGGTTTCTACATAAGACAGTATTACATACAATTAAATTTAGCACAAATTTGCCGAATGTTACATTAATTTTAGACGTACGTTTCAAAAGTTACAAAACATATAATAGAAAGTAGACCAATGGGTTGCCAAACTATAAGGGTTAAGATGTTATTATGTCAAATAAGGCATGTGGGGTATCAAATAAAAGGTCTCAACGAGCACTATACAAAAATCATATTCACAAACTCAATAGATCAATAGGGTTCCGTACCAAACATTCATTCGATATATAATAGTATATTTTTTTGCAAATTTGCAAGTAGACGGACTAGGTGAAAGATTTCTACATAAGACAGTATTATATACAATGGACTTTAGCACAAATTTGCTGAATATTACATTTATTTTAGACGTCGGTTCAAAAGTTACAAGAGATATAATAAAAAGTGGACCAATGGGTTGCCAAACTACAAGTCACGTCAAATATGGCATGTGGGGTATCAAATGAAAGGTCTCATCGAGTACTATACAAATATCATATTCACAATGTATTTTTCTGAATCCAAAATTTTGTTACTAACATTGTTATATTAAAAAATAAAACAAAAAAATAATTTTGATCAATTCTAACTCATACGAGTAGTTTGATGAATAAATTCGAACATAAATTTACACGTTAGTAATAAACTATTATAATACGCCTAATAAAATTTAAAACATTCAAATTATATATTACACTTTAAAAAAATCAAGCAATAACAAATTACAATTTTCTATAATTTAATATTGAAGCAATATTTAGAGGGTAAGTTTATTTATGAATATTATTAAGTGTCGTAATATTGGAGTTCACTAATGCTATCATAGATGGCGCAAGAATTTACTTAATGACATATGTTAATAACGAATATACGAATCTATTAATTGATTTGCGGACTATCTAAATGTTAATATTAAGAGCTAAAACTTTTTGAGAATTTTCTTTTATTACTTTGGAACCATTTGAGCCCTTGGGAGCAAAGAAAAACGAAAATATCCATATTAAGGACCACCTAAATATATATATATATATATTATATATATATATATATATCATTTATAATTATTATCGTTATTCCTACGAATAAGATTAAAATTTATGACCCTTTGTCTGTCCTCGTTTTGGCAGCCGAAGCGGCCAAAAACAAGCACCTGGCAATTGTCACGAATCACTTGATGATTTCATATCTAAAGATAATTACACTTGGCCAATGTTTTTGCCAATTTTGACGATTTTCAGGAAAAATGAATGATTGACGGATGAATAGTTGTTAGAAAGCCAAAAGTGTAAGTGGAACACATAATACTGAGAAGTTGATAATAAGAAATTTGTTAGATAAAAGACACAGATTATAGTAATATAAGACGATTGGAACAAAAGGTGTCAAGTTACACTTTAGGCTAGGGTATATTTGATGTTACTTAAGTCACTTAAGTCACTTGAGACACTTTTTTATGTGACCTCATTGTAAAATCTAAGAGAATTCTTGAATCTTACAACAAGCTTATACCAGTTTGTTTAAATAGAATCAACTATAAAATAACTATTTCTTTGTTGTTTCTACTGAAAAAAATTGTTATGGGTAATGGATCTATTTTCGGATATTTATTATCTTAGTATAACGAACATTCTAAGCTGATTAAAAAAATAATACTGAATGTAATTCAGATGAGAATTGTGTCAATTTCTCATAAGAATATTTCAGCACTTTTTCGTAGAGGTCCCAATTTTCTATCATTTCATCTTTCATAGAGGAATTGGGTTTTGGTTGTAACATTTAAATAATTTGTTCCTATGTAAAACTTGTTTATTGTTGGTTTTGTAATTGAATTATCCATTTTAACATATGCATCATAGTCTATTGTTTACAACTGAAGAAATATTATGTGTATTTGTATTTTTATATGATGGTAGATTTATATTGAAAATGATTGTAAAGTCAAAGAAAATTATCTTATCTCACGATTAGCAAAAAATAAGTAAAAAATAATCATTTCTATTTACCGTCTGGTGTGACAGCGCCCATAGGATATTAGAACTTTTCAAAGAAAATCATTTCTTTTATGAAAGTCTTATTAATATTTTTTAACTTCCCGTAGGGTAAGTTATAGTAATCGCAAAAAAATCGAAAATGAAATTCTTTATATATCTTTACGTTTCAAAATCTCTGAACATTTTGGCATACCTTAGAAAAATGAATGTATATGTGTGTGTGTGTTTTTTTTGTATAGCGAAGGAAATGCCTTTATGCATCCCAGACTGGGATGTGGGTGTATGTGTGTGTGTGCGTGTGTGTGTGTGTGCGGATACAAATTTTCGTCAACGATTTCGGGAACACGGATGAAGCGATTTCAATAATTCAAAAAACATTCGATTCGTATTGATAAGGAGACGAGCTGATTAGTTTTTGGCGAAGGCAGGTCTAGCCTGATATGAAGATATGGGGCAAAAAGCGCCAAAAACGGTAACTCAGTTTTTAGAAGAACGGAGCGTCCGATTTGAATAATTTAGAAAACATTATACTTGTATTAACAAGATGAAGAACTGATCAAATTTTCATGAAGGCAGGTTTAGCCGTTTCGGAGATCTAATGAAAATAGGTTAAAAAATGGCATTTGGCGGTCAAAAATGTTCATTGGATATATGTACATCTAATTATCATATATTTTATAGAGATTTTAATAATGTGTACACATTTTCTGTAAATTTTTTTGGGTTCCGTACCAAGATTTTTAACTTTAAAATTCAAGTATATGGTTCAAATAAATGTCCTCAACATTTTCGACAGTATGGAATAACCGATTTGCATGATTAAAAAATCATTCGGTTCGTACTCGATAGCGATGCATTTTTTTCAAAAGGCACATCATCCCGTTTTGGAGCGCAAAGGGTGTAAAAATGGTTATGCAATTTTTGAGAGGGCGGATCATTCGATTAGATTAATTTGAAAAATATTTTGCTGGGGTAAACGGTGTGCAAATAGTTTCACAAAAAATTTCGTATTTTTGAAAATTTTTGAGTTTCAGAAACTCAACTTTTCGAAATTTTTCATCATTCTCAAAAAAATCTCGTAAAATATCAAAATTAAAAAAAAACGATTTCTTACAAAAAATTGAAAAATTTGAAAATTTTTCGAAATTTTCAAAAAAAAACAGATATTTTCAAAAAATTTCAAATTTTCAAAAAATTCCAAAAAATTTCGAACTTTTAAAAAATTTACAAAAGTTTGAAAAATTTTTAAATTTTATCAAAAAAAAAGAACAAATTTTTTATAAACATATACATGAGTTATTTGTAGAATACGCTCGTCGCCCAATTTAATAAGCACTTATAAATTTACAATATATTGGGTTGGGGAATTATTTTTACGTGAACTTCAAGACTTTATTTTACATGTTTTGCATTGTCCGATTTAGGTCAAATATGCACCATATTGTTCTATAATTTGTTGCCATTTTAATGGTAGCTTCATTATGGCTCTCTCATAAAAGTAAAAAATAATGGATTTCTTTTTCCCCAACCCTATATATTTATAACAAACTAGATGACCCGATATGTTTAAATTTTTTTAATATAGTATACTGATATTTACCGTTTACCTAAAAATAATAATTATTGTTTTTTAAATTACTCTTACTATAATATGAGCGATGTTAAATGTAAAACTGCTTTAAACAATGACATGTCGCTTTTTGCATTTTTTTCATTTATTTCTACAATATTGCACATACATCCCAGTACTTAGAAAATTTCCTTAACAAACTTCAGAAACATTTATTAAAATCCGAATAATCGTTTAGGAGGAGTATATAATGAGTGCTTGTAGTTTAATATGAACTTTATATAATAGCAATAAAGTTCAAATTGATTTTACGTTTTACTTAGAAGACGTTTGTATGAGAAAAAGAAAAGGGCTGGTTTTAGGGTTTTCCCGGCAATTATTTGATTTTTTCGGCGTAAGAAATATTCTTGGACTTCAACGAACATTTAAAAACAAGAATTGGCCAAATTGGTCCAGGCGTTGTTGAGTTATGCGCTTACCAAGACATTTTGCGATTCATTTTTGTTTATAAGATAATCTATTTGAAATTATTTAAAACAATTATTGATTATTTTCATTCCTTGAATTTTTAATTACGGTACGGGAAGTTCCAGCAATTTGCCTTAAGGCACCATGCAATACAACACTAATTTAAAAATCTGACGGTACAGAAAATAGTACATGTAAATTGTGCCTAAAAAAGTTTCACTTCAAAAATCCACTATCCTCTCGGTGTGACAGCGGCCTTACATCGGCTGTTGTCAGTTCGTAACGCTGTTGCCAAGATGGCGCGCGACACGAAGTCAGTCGAAGCAGTCGAGTCGCTATCTCTCGTTTACGCACACAAACAAAAAACACACC